TCTTTCAGTTTCTCAAGGTTCCATAATAGCAAGTTATTGCCTCCCTCTGCTTCACAATTATACTATGACCTACAACAGAAAACATATTTTTCTTACCCAGGCTTACCTCCCAGGTCCCACTCATATGAGTTTCTTTGGACATGGCCCTTAAGACCCAGACTTACAACCTATTCAAGGAAACTCCAAGCCATAACTCCCCCAAGAAAACAAGTTTCAGCTTGCCTGAAGTCCTTCTTGACCTTCCACTTGACTAGAAAACCCTCCTGTCCTTGCTTGGGGGATACAGCAAAATCCTTACATTATGTGATGATGTGAAAAGTGAGATGTGAAAAGAAACATGTTCAGTTTCAAAGCCCGCATCTGCAAAGGGAAGGAAATCACTACAAGTCACACCCAGAATGACCACTGAAGTTTGGCTTCAAACAGTGGAAATAGAAGAAACTAATCAAGTTCTTTAGTGATTTTACATCACTAAAACATTTTCATGTTTGAAATAGTCTATTTTCCAAAAATCAACAGGAAAATAATAGAACTAAAAGGTTATAAATAGTCCAAGTAATATGAGACTTTAAATGAAGCAAAAGAGAAATTAAGGACAGGAGCAAAGAGACATGAGCAAGATAAGAAAATGAGGGAGTGATATAAAGACCAATGGAAAACAGTTAAAGCTGAAGTTGAGAGAAAAGGATAAATTCTGTGAAGGGAAAATTAAGATTAAATAATAATCCAATAAACCAATCCCACATTGTATCAACACCAACATTTAGACATTCCTGAGGAGGGGAAGCTCCCTCTTTCCTAGAAGCACTCCTTAGAAAGCCTTCATTTAAAAACAAACAACAACTCACAATGTGATTCTCCCAAAATCTGTACTTCCAGTTAGTCAACAGCAATTCCTTGGTTACCGGGGAGCAGTACAATTTAACTTTCAAACTGCAAGGAGAGAAAAAAACACAGATGAGAGGGAACAATCTAACGACACATCAACACCTGGCACCTACAACATCAAACACAGTGCTCAGACAGTGGCCTCATCTAAAGAGACCTACAGATGTAAGCCTGCAAGAGCTGTTCTGTTCCAACCTGAAGTGGGATGGGGTTCCTCCACCTCACTGGTCTCCCCTGGAACAGGCATTTGGGACAGTTAGCATTCAGCAGAACACAGAAACTTCCTTTTGCACAGTGCATAAAGAGACCTGATGAGCAAAGACAGACTCTGCTTGCATTTGAAGATATGCAATATCTACACTAAGAAACCAAACAGTGCCTAAGAATTGGTCCACAACCTCTCTGGGCCCATTGCCATGTTTGACCATGCTCATGATGAAAACAAAAAGGTGTCTCTTCTGTTATACACTCCAAGAAGAGTATGGCTCCATCTTCTCTACCCCTGCCTGCACACACTGATTGTCTACTACTCTTACAGCTGAAGACACCTAGCTCTCAGCCCCTCCTCACACATCAAATGCTCCAGCCACAGATCAGTGTGGTGGACCTGCTCTAAAACATCAACGCTGTTTTTTTGTCCAGGACTGGACTCTTACTCTAAAGTCTCACAAGTGCTGACCAAAGGGGAATAACTGTCTTCCTCAAAACTGCTGGCTGTGTGCTTGCGCATACACTGCTGGTCTCCTCTGTGCACAGCACAAACATGGTGCTATCTCCACAGACTGACCCACTTCCAGAAAATAATAGCAGGGATCCTCATGAAGTTCAACATGACCCAGGGCAGTGACAGGTATCAACAGAGGCTGGGGGATGAATGGATTGAGAGCAACCCTGAGGAGAAGGACTTGGGAGTTCTGATGGATGAAAAATTAGGCATGAGGCAACAGCATGCATTTCCAGCCCAGAAAGCCAACTGTATCCTGGGCTGCATCTTCAGCAGCATGAGCAGCAGGTCAAGGGAAGGGATTCTCTCCCTCTGTTCCACTCGTGTGAGACCCACCCTGCAGTCCTGATCCAGCTCTGGGGGCAACAACACAAGAGGGATGTATGTGGAGCTGCTGGAGCAAGTCTAGAGGAGGCCATGGAGATGCTCTGAGGGCTGGAGCAGCTCTGCTCTGAGGGCTGGAGCAGCTCTGCTCTGGAGCCAGGCTGAGAGAGCTGGGCTGGTTCAGCCTGGAGAAGAGAAGGCTCCTTAAGGAGAGAGCTTAGAGCAGCTCCAGTGCCTAAAGGGGCTGCAGGAAACCTGGAGAGGGGCTTTGGACAAAGGCCTGTAGGGACAGGACAAGGGGAATGGCTTTAACCTGCCAGAGGGGAGATTGAGATTGGATATTAGGAAGAAATTCTTCCCTGTGAGGGTGCTGAGGCGTTGGCACAGGGTGCCCAGAGAAGCTGTGGCTGCTCCATCCCTGGCAGTGTTCAAGGCCAGGTTGGACACAGGGGCTTGGAGCAACCTGCTCTAGTGGAAGGTCCCTGCCCGTGACAGGGGGGTTGGAAATGGATGAGCTTTAAGGTCCCTTCAACAGAAACCACTCTGACTCCATGCCTTTATGATTCACAACAGTTCCCTTCTCTTATTTTGATCACATTTTGATTTCACCCACCCACCTCCCCTCAGGGTCTCACCCTGCCGGGCCGGGCCGGCAGCCACTGAGGCTGCGGCAGTGCAAGTCAGCCCTGCGGGTCCCGTCCTCCCCTCATCCCCCGGAGTCCCCCCGTACCTGCTCTCCATCCTCCTCCTCAGGGCGGGCGCCCGCAGCCCCTTCATGTGGTCTGTGGAGAGAGGGCACAGCCATCAGTACGTGTGCGGGAGGGGTGGGGGGTTGCCATGGTGACGGGCGATGCTCACCCTTGTGGCAGTGCGACAGGAAGTAGGCGCGCGCCAGCAGGTTGTCGTGATCGAAGCGGTCAATGGACACGGACGGGTACTCACGCACGCGACCCCCGAACCGGCTCATGGCGCCCAAACCCGCTTCCGCGTCGAAGCCCCGCCTCTCCCTGCCTCCAGCCAATCACGAAGAGGCTCCGCCTCCTGACAACCTATCAGAGAGCGCGGCGGGAGAGGAAGAGCCGGCTTCTTAAAGAGGCAACGGCGGGCGGTTGCTTGGCAACAGCGGGCGGCGGCGGCCGTTGGCGCTGTGAGGGGAGTGCGCCGCCATCGCGCTTCAGCGGCCGTTCCGCGCCGCCGGACTCGGGCATAGTCCCCGTTCTGCGGCTCTTACCCGAGGTGGGTCGGTTCCAGTCCTGGGCAGCCGGGGTGTGGAGTGGGGCTGTGGTCACCTGGTGACTCAGGCTTAGACATCTGGCTGAGCACCCTGGCAAGTGCAAGGAGCTCTCACGTAGTCTGTGGAAGTCATTGAAAACCTCTTATTGGTTCTTATAGGATCTCAGATAGGTATTGTGTGTGCTTACTTGTGTTAAGTGGTTGGAGAAGCACGGGCATCTCCTAGTGCATGGCATCTGCTTTGGGATGCCTGGGGCCTCTGCCTGGGCCCAGGGATGGAGCTGATGATTTCTTGTTTGCAGGCTCAACCCGTAACACAGCTGAGCATGTGTTACAGACAGGGCTGGTCACACAGGCTGTTGCAGATGAGGTGTTGCCTTCACCAGAAAGTACAGGACTCACATAAAACAAGGCATAAGACAAGTCCCTTCCTCCTCTTCAGCTGCTACCCATAAAAGTTCAGCAGTTCAGGTATACACACACCACTCAAGGTTCTCATGCAAGTGCATATTTGTGGATCCTCTGAGGACCAGCACACCTCCTCTGTCTGCCAAGCACCCCTCCACAGATCCTAGGCCCCCCAGCCTGGTTCCTGTGTTCCCTGCTTACCTGTTAGACCAGTTGATGATCACAACTGGATGATCAGTTGCACTCACGCATTCCTCACGTACTCCATGTTCACAAGTCCCTCTGGGTGTACCAGCATGGCTCTGCTGCTCACTTGATACCCTGGCCTGGACCTGAGGTTGCCCCTCCTCGCCAGCTAGTCCAGCTTAAAGTTTCCTAGCTAATATGGATATGCACCCCATGTGTACCTGGATTGGAGAAGATACAGATGATACACAGATAGACTCCACAAGTCATTAGAGTTGTAAAGTAGGTATGCTTTTATTCAGCGCTGAGGCACATGGGGATTGCTCCTCCAAAAGCATGCACACCTTTCCTTCGCCACTCAGTTCTTTTATATTACATATAATGATTACCTAAACATGAGATTGCTTCACGCCTAATACATATGCAAAACCTATTCCTGTCTAGTATTATAATTAGTTTTCTGGCATTTGTCCCATTGGTGCACCTGCGCAGTGCCTCCTGGTGGTGGTCGTTAGGGGGTCGTGAGGATGAAGGCCTGTAGTTCCTCTTCATCACCGCAAGTAACCTCTTGCTTTCACGCAGACTCAACAGGGTTTCAGCTCCTATCCAAACCTCATGTTCGGTACAAGCCGGTTTTATGTATCTTAGAGCAGAAACTTGTCAAGTTTGCAAATTTTGTTACTCTGGCTATCTTTTGTTCCTTTTTTTTCTAAAGATACTATTTAAACAAGAATGTCTTAAATGTTGAGTTATGAATCTTATCTACTACAATTCTGTCTAGCAGCTGTAACTCTTACAATTCTGCTTCACCGTTCTAGCAACTTTGACTCTGAGGGCTGCTTCACCAAGCACAGCAACTGCTTAAGCAAGCAGGCACAATGTTAACCCTTTATTTCCCAGTACACTCCTCCTCCCCAGCACAAGCTGTGATCCACAGTCATGCTTCTGTTCCTGGCATAGAGCCCCTCATTCAGCCAGCATTCCCTCAACAGCGGACTTGTTTAGGACACATACTGCTCCTGCTGCAGTAGCTGGAGTTGAAAACCCCTGCTCTCTCCAGCAGCTGACATCTCAAGATGTCATACCCAGGAGCTGGCACCAGTTTTTCACTTACACAGGTCACACTAGTAGCTGGTATTTAGTCCTTGCAGCACATATATGCTCATGGGACATAGAGCAAGATTACTCAGAGAGATAATTAAGAAAATATTTAATATGAAGATATAAGAAGGTAGGACAAACTGTAATGATCAGGTGCAGCCAGGCAAGTGTACTGACTGGCCCTCTTTTGTACTCCTTCCTGTCTATTGCCATCTTTGTTCCTCCCTGCTCCTCTCCCCCTGCTCATCCCTCCCTTTTTTATACAGCTCTTAACTATCGCTGCACCCCTCTGATTCTGGGCTTCCCCAGGTTTATAGTCTTACCAGTTGGAAAGTCCAGGCTGATCTTCCTGGGGGTGATGCTTGTGGTTTCTTGATAGCCCATTGGTTAGTGTGAGTGGTGAGCTTCGGGTTTGTTTTTTTTTTTTTATGGTCTCTATGTTTGTTTTTTCAGGTGTGTGTCTCTGTATACATTTTGGTTTGAGTTTCCCCTTTTCCCCTTGGTTTTCCAACTGATAAGGTCCCTGATCAGATAACCTTGCTGGAATAAACACTCTCACACTCCCACATCCCCCCATCAGTTACTGTGACTGACCTGGTTTGGTACTCATCACCACCTCCCTCATTTGCTGCTCAGGTTCGTGTCTCCGTATGTTCCTGTTTTATGGCTTCCTCCCTTTCTTATTATCCCTTGTTGCATTGAAAGAAGTCCTTGACCAGAAGCTCTTAAAGGAGCAGACACTTTCCTCCCACGTACCCTTACAACCTGTGTGAGCATTAAGGAAACTGCCATCTGCCAGGCAGGCTAATTAGGATTCCATGGAAATTATGCTGGGATTAGCATTAAAAGATGTTTTCCCAAAGCTAAAACAGAGGTGTATGAAATCTTAGTATTTCCCTTAAGGCAAACGTTGTCTTAGCAAAGTCCACTTCAACAATTCCCTTTCAATGGGTAGTGTTAGTATCATGCTGAATGTTTTCTTACCACTCTCTGGCATTCTTTCATTTGCCTGTATATGGCTGCTGCCTTTGCCACTTCCCTGAATTGCAGGGAAGGCTGTCTGGTATACAGCTTGTTTCCTTGTACAATGAAACCAGTTCTATACCTGGAACTCAAGACACACTACCATAGACAAACAGCTGCAGTTTTAAAGAGCTTAAATAGCAGACTGCAAATATCAGGATGGCACTTTTATTATCTGAAGTCACACTTTAAATGTGTGACCTTTGTGTATGTATATGTATGTGTGTGTATATATATATATATATATATATATATGTACTGAGCAGGAACACCTGTGAACAGACCATCTGAATTCATGGTGACCCAGGAAGGGCCACACATAGCTAGCTGTCTGGAAGAAGCACACTCATTACAAGAATTCAGCACATTCCATAAGGAACTACTTAACACTTATGTTACCATAAGACACTTAAATTCATTATAACTTAGCATTTATTAAGAACTAATTGCTCTTGCTAATAATATTGACTGGCTAAAGTCCCAGATTGACAGTACTTCTCATCAAACATCAAAGATCACATACAAGGCATGAAAAAATTCTGTAATGGATACAAAAGAGCCCTTTGCAGCAGGAGACAAAGAAAATTATATTGAGATAGATATCTCAAAGTCCATGCTATGGATTTAAAACAAGGATATCTGTTCATCATATTGATTTATATGTGACACCTCATAAATGGAGGGTAAACTTTTTTTTCTTTTTCTTTTTTATAGTAAATGGTTGCCTTCAATTACGAAGTGCTGCAGAGCCTGGTAAAAGAATGTTTGGAGTGCTGAGCTGCCCTGAAGTAGTTTAGTATTGCCAGAAAAGAGCCCTTGTGTGTTTTTTATTGATCTTTAAAAAAGTGTATGCAGTAAGTGATGAAAGGCCTTTTCTTTGTGTGCTAATGGTTCTCATACAGTTAGAAGACAGAGATGCAGGCATCTCCTATTTCTACAGTATGATTACAGTCATTCTTGATAGACTTTTCCCAATGATTTGTATGCTATGGTGAGATTTTTTATTCTCCTTTTCTGCCTTTCTAACAGACTAAGGGCATTTGTGTGTTTGACAGGATATCAGCATTCAGCTTCTTGAGCTTTCAGTTGATATAGGAACTTACTAAGTAAGAAAAAAAAACTGTGTGTGCAGGATTTGGAGGCAGCACCCTACCCCCAGGGAGTGAGACTCTGTTCATCCTCTCACTACAAAACCCATAAGCACATCCCTGGTGAGCTGTCACTGACTTTTCAATGTTTTCTTTTTATTTTTTGATCATTTTATTCCTTTTTATTGGTTTGTTGGTTTTTTTTTGTTTTTGATTTTTTTTGCAGTTTGACTTTCATCTTGTCCCAGTTCTGCTCTGTTGAGGTTTAGCAGTTGATGAACCTACATACTATTTCTCAGCAAATTGAAAAAGTGGGTTTTGCGTGAAGAGGGAGTCAGTGCCGATTTCATTGGAAAAGTGTAAAACAGGATGAATTTGGGGAGGTTCTGTGCCTTTCCCCCTTGTCCAGTTTATTTAGTAAGACTTCTGTGTTATCTCTGCTGTGGCCATGTGACTGGCACTGCATTTCTCCTTTCCCCTCCTCTCCCACCCTGAGTGTTTGCTATTCTTCAGGAACAGCCCAGCTCTTCATTTTGTAGTTCCCACTTTGATGTACCTTCATACTGAAGCAAGAAAAACCTGAAAAGCTGCCTGCCCCAAAGGGATAGCAACTGTGAAGCTGTGAATAATAATAATAAAAATATACTGTATTTTGTGTATTTTTAATTGATTAACACACACAAATACATTTTAGGTACATGAAGTCAAGCTGTATATAGTATTTAGATGAGTTGGGTTAGCTGGAGATCAAGTAGTGCATTTAATTTGATCCCAACTGCTTACAATGTGTTTTAACCTCAGACTTTGAGGGGAAGATAATATTGTCCTGTCTGTAATTCCTTTACTTAAAAATTTTTCTCTACCCACTCCTGTATGTCCCCAACAAAATCATTTGCTTCCATCGTCTCTAATTTGTAAACATCTGATTTCAGGAAAATGTCTGAAGTTCCTGGAGTCATTGCTAACGCTGACATTGAACCAAAATCTATACATCGTGCCGAGAAATGGTCGGGTGATGTAGAGAACTTATACAGATTCCAGCAAGCTGGATACAGAGATGAGATTGAGTATAAACAAGTGAAACAAGTAGATACGGTAAGATTTATAACTTTGCAAGGGTTATTTCTTTAAAATTCTGTGTCAATTAAATGATTAAATAAAGATGGAGGTGCTGAGTCTTTCCTGTCATTTAGGATTCCATTCATTCCTTTCATTCCTATCTTTTCTGATGCAGTTTTTTCTCCAAGGTTTGACTTAAATTCTTGAGCTATTATTTGCTGTGTAGAATAACTTATGTCACAGAAGTGAAACAGAAACATTGTGTGGCCTGTGCTTTTGTTCCCCTTCTCTTATGAATTTGGAAGCATTATCAATTTCTCTGAACAGATGTAGCTGCTATCTAAAAGAATAATTCAGTTTTGAGAAAAGGAGTGTAACAAAGTGAGTTATCTGTGAAGTTTCCCCATAACTCTGGCAGTAGAGCCGACAGGAAGCTCACTTGCTGTCCAGGGAGTCAGTCCTGTGCCATTGCTACCCACTGCAGTTTTACGGTTGCATTGTGTGGTGGCATAATCAGACTTTGTGCACACTCAAAACTTGGCTGCTATTGAAACCATCCACAAAAGAAATATTTGATGCCAACTGTAGTAAAGGGAGCTGTGACACAAGCTTTTATCAATGGAGAACATCAGTGCTCTGCTCACTACATTTGGTGACAATTCTCCCTAGCACTTCAAATGAACTAATGGATAATGGCTACTATAGATATTCAGTGGCTACTTGAGATTTAAAATAGCAACCAAGAGCTTAATATGGCAAACAACATATTTTCTTTATTGGAGCTCTGGAATTTATCTTCCAAAGCAGCATATGTAGTATGAAAAATCCACTTTTAGGAGACCTTAAAGTCACTAACATGTTACTCCTTATCCGGTTAACTGAAAACACAGCAAAAAATTGATGCGCATAATAAGATGCAGTTCTTTATTTGGTTGTGGGCTGGGATACCACTGTAAAGGCTGTGGTGTAAATTCCCTTAACTGTGCAAAAGGAAATACTGTAATTAGTGTCGTAGTATCAGTCTGTTTGAAGTTTATGGCAGGTCATAACCATAGACAATTAAACCCTGATGAAAGTTAAAGAACACCACTTAGCCAGTGTAAAATGAGCATGCATGCTGCTCAAAATTGCCAGGATCTGGTAGTTCTTCTCTTTCAACTTATGCATCTTGAAATGTCTTTGTTTACTCCACATTATGTTTCCATAATGCAGGTGTTACTAATGGTGCAATTATAATATAGATGGAATTAATATTGAGGCTGTTACATTTAGGTGGAGAATGCAAATAGCTTGGCTATATGCCTAAAGTAATAAGGTTAAGTGTTGAAACTACCACTTCTAGCACTCTACAATTAGAGAATGCTCTAGGATGACATCCTCTCATCAACTCTGCCTGGAAGAGAGATAAGATTCTCATTACCTGATTTTTAAGGTTCAGTTGGACCAGAAATAGTCATAGGTGTTCAAGCTGCAGACAGCTACTCAGCTGTTGAATGAACAAGCCTGTTGAATGCTCACGCCTTAAAGTTTCACACTGTGGAACACTGAAGAGCACCAGGATGGTTCTGGTTTCCTGCAGGACTGATCCTTCTATCTGTGAGACTAAGATACATATCACTCATTTTATTTGTATAAAACTGCTAAGGAAAAGCACATTTTTCATGGTCAGAAGGATCCCAAAGGAACCATTAAGTGTTTTCAGTCTTCCAGACGTGGAATCTTTCAGCCTCTCCGGTTACTGAATAACTGAATAGTACCAATGTTCTATTCCTAAAGGAGGTATTTTAAAAGCTTTGACTAGTATACTTATTTAAATTACTCTTATCAAATATTCTTAGATCCTTCTTTCTAGACATTTCTGAGCATATAATTCTTGATCATATAATTCTTAATCATATAATTCTGATCTATAATTCTATAATTCAGACCAGAAAACTAGTTTTGACATCTTGTTCTTCATCATCTTTTTAAAGTTAAGCAAATGAATAGCAAAGTAGTGGTTAGATGCAAATGGAATTATACCCTGTATCCCTTGCAATATAATGCACAAACATTTAATGTGAGCACGTTCTGGTGAATGTGTACCCTTTTCATTCTATTCTTAGGTAGAGTACTGGCCAGAAACTGGATTTGTTAAGAAACTTCAGAGAAGGGACAATACATTCTATTACTACAATAAGCAAAGAGAATGCGAAGACAAAGAAGTCAACAAAGTGAAAGTTTATGTGTATTAGTTTTGGGTTTGTTCTGATTTGCTTGTAGTTTTTGTGATAAATCTGCTTGTTAGAATCAGAAAGTGAATGAGATTAAACAATCTGATTTACCTGAAGTGTTGGTGTCATTCTTAGGTAGAAGAGGGAATACTGGAAATGCAGGAAAGCCTGGAACTTTAGACATAGGAATTTCATATTTTTTCCTGCTATAACCAAGTCTTCTTATCCCTCTTTTTTTCTAGTTGCAAATATTTTGACATAAAGGTAAAAAGCTGGTAAATGAGCATCATATATTTGGTTTAACTGCGTGTAAAGTCCATTTTAAGTACAGGCACCAATCTTCATTCAAAACAACATAATCTTACTGACAGTGGCTAATGTCAGCCATAGTCTCTTGGTATAGATGAGGGTTATGAGACTAGAAAGGACTGAAGCAAAGCCCAAATGCTAATTGAAGTTCCCTTGGAGAATAGGAATAACAAGGAAAGAGATTAGTGAAGGACACCAGACAATCAAGCAGCGAGGACCAAGGATGAGCTGCTGATTTAAGAACTGGCTATTGTGATAGAAACAGTCACAACGAAGATGTCTTTTCGAGCAATAGGTAAGGGATCCCCAAAGTATTTTTGTCATGTGAAAGTGCTAATTACTGGAGGAGGAAATATTAATTGACATGGTAGCTATACATTTTGGGGGGGGGGGGATTTACAGATGGTGGGAGCAGTGGGAGCAGTGGGATCAGACAGTGTAAAACTGCAAGGAGAACATGAAATCCATAGTGTGTAATATATAAGGTTAGATAACGTACACAGATGGTATGCGGAGAATTCACCTCTCTAACTTCAGAAGTCACATTGTGAACATCTACACCTCATCTTGTCTTTTGGAAAACCTTTTTTTCTGAATGGGGAAACACTGGCTCTGCTGGGCACAATTAATTTCTTCATTTCTTCTAAATGTGGGTGTGTAACATTTGCTTTGGAAACATTGCAGTGACATTAGCCCTGCAGAAGCTGTCTATGTGCGTGCTACGCTGAGACAGTGAACACAACGTACCCTACTTACCTTCACTCCTTAGGGTCAAAACTCTGGGTAACTGACCATCAGTAGTATGGGTGCAGTATTCAAAACATCTCATTGGTAATATGTGAGGATGATCTAGTCACTTTATTTAGACTGCCTGGAAAGTCTTCACTTAAATTTGTTTGAGCTCTGTTAGAGGAATGACTGAAAAGTACTCAGAAGCAACTGTGAAGCTTTTTTTTTATTCCAGGCAGGTTTTAATGGCATATAAATAGTGACTGCAATGACAGAAATAAAACATTGCTTCAATAAATGTCACATTACATTTTCATGATGATTTCTTATTTGGATTGCTCTTGAGGTGCTTTTTAAGAGAGGACTTTTTGCATACTTTGCCCATTAAATAGAGGGAACAGAACAATTATTGGGATAACCCATCTATTTTCTCACTTTTACAGAGCAGATTGTACTTTGTTAACTTCATAGATTCCTAAGAAAGAAACTTTCCAGTGGGCATGAAAAAAGGCCTTTAAGAAATTCGCAAGAATGGATGTGTTTTATACCCAACTCAATTGTACTGACAGAAATCACAGCTGTTGGCACACACACAGTAACTGAGGAGGTTAGGTACAGCCATTTTCTCAGTCTGTAGAAAAGACATAGTTGCACATTCAAGAACAGGAATTAAAACTGCAGGTAACTTGTTTACAGCTTAACTTTCTTTTACAGGAAGACTTTAAAATCCTGAAACAAATGTAAAAGATTAGTCTGGGCTTCCCTCATTTCACCTGACTGCGTCTCAGTGATTCTGCAATACTGCTGGATAATTTCTCTCTTGTATTATGTTTTAAAACAATAAGTCTACATTTCATAAAGCCCATGGAGATTTCATTTCAAAGCAGCAGCATGGAAATCCATGTTCCACTTCAGAAATGCTGATTCTCTGTGAGTTGGCAGATTCTTCTCACTTTAAGAGAGTGAATTACCTAGATTTTATTATTCGTATTTTTCAGCATTGTCACTGTCCTAAAAGCTTGAATCTGACTGTAATATTTAAAAGATTAATGGAGTGAAAAGGAAAAAAAAGCATCATGATTAGTGCTGGAGACCTGTTTACAGACACAGCCTTTGTCAGGACTAATGCTGTATTCTGGAGTTCACTCTATTAGCAAAACAGCAGGTTTTGTATTGGCAGTCACAGTTTTGGTCTGGAATTGTCCATTGACATTCAGTTTATATCTATATTTCACTCCAGTTCATGCTATATTTCAGGTTACTTAAAACCACTCCCTTTTTCTAAAGACTGCAACTGTGTAATGGCTTTAGCTACAAAGCCAAAGAGGTTCCTCTCTTTAAAGAGAAGCAGGTACAGGGGTTCTTGCCTGAGTTCAAGCTTGTTTGTGATCCCAAGATAAAATTAATGAAGTATAAGGATGTTTGCTTGAGTTAATTCTTAGAATCACAGAGTGGTTTGGGTTGGATCTACTTATTCTAATTCACTTAATGCCTTTGTAAAAGACAAGAATAAATGCTTTCTGTGTCAGTTGAAGCTCATAAAAGGAGGTAAAACAAACTTTTCCGAGACCTACTTTTCAGGCTTTGTGTTTGACAGCCCCAAGTGAAATGGCAAGGCTGCAACCTCTCTGAATTCACCCCCTTACGCTGTGGGAATAAAGGCCGCTTTAGTGTGTTCCAGGCAGATTTTCCACGTTTTCTGCCTTAACTCGAATTCATTATGGAGCAGTGTTTTCTGTAAGTGATAACTGTAGCTATCTGATTGTTTTGCAGCCACACAGATAGTTCAAGCATTTTAATTTTCACTGTGGTACCTCAGTTGTCTCTCCAACTCTGCAGACAGCTGGACCTCAGCCCTTTGGCTGGTTCACAAACACAGTGTCCTTGTTTTAAGGTGTTGAAAATGATTGAATGGCTTCAGACTCCCTAAAGACAATTTTCTAACTCACAAGTTCTTGGTGCCACTGTTCTCATGGTGTCTGATACAAGTGAAGTCTGACTGGAAACAGCTCAAATGGAATTGCCTTATGGTCTCTGCAGGATCTCTCATGTTAGCCCAGTCCCACTGGGTTTATATTTATTTGTAGGAGCTGCTTTCCTAGTATCCTGCCTGTGCTGCGCACCTCTTGACAAGCTGTAATTACTTAGTAAAACACATTTTCTTTCTTGTTGCAGTTGAGAATTTGCATTTACCTCAAGTCTGAAGCACAGCGTGCTCTCGAGCAGCGCTTGTGAGGGTGACTGGTGAATGTCTGCTGTCAGGAGAGTTCCAGGTTGGCACCAAAAAAACCCTGCAGTGTAACTTTGAAAAAACATCACCATTTGTATGGATACGCTGTTCAGCCAGTGTTTTACATGTCTCAATGCTGGGATTGTCCGACGCCCTGTACCCAGCTTTGGCTCAGACTTTGAGTCTTCTGCTCACCAGCTAGTGCAGCTTGATGTTTCCTAGCACATTGCATACACATGGGACTACATTCACTAAGGAAATACAAACACAGCCCAGTTGCTGTGGGTGCTGGCACTTACACCCTCAGATAGGCATATACATCACCATCCCTCTAGTGATGGCACACAGACGCGCAGTCCCTGTCACGCATGGCCTCTTCTTCAGGCTCACAGGATAGATAGTGAGATGACACTGAAGAGGTAGCTCAGAGTGGGGTTTAGCAAGAAGACAGCCCAGACTTGCAGGTGAACATCCTGCCTGACAGCCTGCTCATTTATATTTCAGCCCTCCAACCTTCCTCCTAGCTGTCTGCCCATACTCCTTCCACCCTGGTCCTTCTCCTAAACATCCCATTGTAAATTTTACTCAGTCCCCTAAGATCCTCACACTTCATATTCACACTAATTATGTTCTTATGAGCTACAAAATCCAGGCTGACCCTCTCCAAGGCCAGAGTAGTTCTTTTAATGGCCCATCACTCGGTGCCTGAGGAGCTCTGGCCTCTGGTGTTCTCTCTTTCATCACCTGCTCACTGATGTTTGAGTGTCTCTGTGTTTAATTTAGTGGTTTCCTCATTATTTGTTATTTTTATGATATTGGGTAATCCTCAACCAAATAACTTTCTGAACCAGATGCTCTCATATCTCACATGTTCCTGTGCCACCCTCCCTGAGGCAGGCACCGTGGCTTCAGTGTGAAGGATGATGCTGTGTGGAGGCACCTACACAGCAGGATCTCTGCAGTGCTGCTGCACCAAGTGTCCAGGCAGCTCTAAGGACATGGAGACAGAGGGAAAGGAATGCCTAAAAACAGGAATAGGAGGGGGATGGGGGAAAAAGGGCACAAATTCAGGGGGGGATAAGTGTATGTAAGAAGTCAGCCACAAATGCATCAACATTTTGCCAGTGATCTGGTACCCGCAGAAGCTTCCTCCCTTGCTGGCAGTGGCTCAGCTCTTGCTGGCTGGAGAAGCAGCACATGCTGCAGATGCTCATCCTGCCTTGGCAGGAACACCCGAATGCCTCAGCCAAGGGGAAGGTGTCCTGCTCGGGTGGGTAAGCTGTGTGGGTTTGCAAGAGGGATGGAGCAGATAGGAGGAGGACTGGACCTGGGGCAGGTTGTTTGCCCAGGGTGTGCAAAGGATGTGAGCTGTGCTGAAATGTAAAGGGGAGCATCCTTGTGCCAAATACATGTTTTTGAGGAACAGCCAGTGCTGGGATGTGAGTAGGGAAAGGCCAGCACATGGGCTGTGAGTGCTAGGAGCCAGGATGCTGTGCATGGAGAGATGGGCTGGAGCCAGGCATGTTTGATGTAGGGATGTGTTGTGCAGTGTTTCTGGAGGAAAGGACCTGCAGATCTGCCTCCTTCCATGGCTCTGCTCTCCAGAAGCTACTACAGAGAGCAGAACTCTTCCTCTATAGCCCTATTCTGCACCTGCAGTAGGAAGAGCTTCCAGCTCCCATCCTAACCTCCCTGAGGGATCCATCTTCATCTTGTTCAGCAGGAAGTTGAGTTGCAGCCCAGGGGATCCCTGCTTTTCTCCATCAACCCCTGAAAAAGGAGCAGGTCTGTGTACCAAGGGCTGAAAGTCACTCGTGTGAGGAGACGCTAATTAAAAACATGAAATAT